CGTGTACCTGTTTCATTGCTTTTTAAACTAAGAGGATGGGATGATGATGAGCAGAACCAAAGAGGTGGAGAAGAACCCAAGAAGGCTGGAGCACTGGTAATGGTAATTACGGAAATCATTGACTTCTTAAAGCAGAACATCTAGAAACTAAAAAGTTCCATGTTGTCAGTATTTCCTTCTTTCTATCATTACAACTGCTCTTTTCTTTGTTGGGTTTAATTTTTGGTACTTACAGAAAATAAAAAACACGGGCCTGTACATTTAATTTTCTTTGGCACAAGGCCTGTACAGTTATTGAATAGATAAAATGTGTGATGATGATTTGCGGATGGTATTTTCAACACCAGAAACAACTTCCTCAATAGAAAATCAACCTGTTAGGCTACTTGACCTCATACACAGTCTAAAAAAATAGATGTGGCAGATGGTGAAACTTCACAGGAAATTGACAGGATCATCCTAGACTTCGTGAAACCAGAAAGACAGAGAACAGGACACTGCTTGCAGAAAAATGAAAAAAAAAATTTGGTTTAATATTTTGCTTTCTAGTAAAGTCAGAAGACTGAATTTAGAGCATAAAAAGAGTAGTAGAAGTAATCTCTTCTGAATGTTAGCTTGGTGGTAGTTTTTGAATGTTAGCTGAGTGTTAGCTACCACTCTAGATTTAGAATAATCATCCCAAATGTTAGGTTAATTGTCTTTAACTAGGAACTAAAGAATTATTATTAGGCACAGCAATGAGCAACGGCTGTTCCATTTCTTCATAAAGTCCAAAAGAGAGATTCTAAGAACCTTGAAATCTAAATCTCAGCCACACTTACCACCAGCAATGTCTGATTATCTAGGAGCTAATGAATTGTTATTAGGCTAGCCAATAAGTAATGGCTGTTCCAGTTCTTTATAAACTCCAAGAGAGGGATTCTAAGAGCTAATTAGAAGTCAGCCATAATTACCACCAATAATGTCTGACGCCTTAGTTTCAGAGGCAATCCGCCCTCACATTGCCCTCTTCCCAAGCGCTGGAATGGGTCATCTAACACCTTTCCTGCGGCTTGCTTCCATGCTATTGTCTAATAACTGCGATGTCACTCTGATCACTGCCAAACCTACTGTCTCAGTTGCAGAGTCCACACATATTTCCTTCTTCCTTTCAACTCATCCAGAAGCCAAACATCTTGAGTTCCAACTCCCTTACTTACAACCTTCCAATTCATCTACTGATGATCCTTTTTTCATTCAGTTCGAAGCCATTCTTCGTTCTGTGCATCTTCTCCATCCATTGCTGTATTCTTTATCTCCACCTCTCACTGCCATCTTCTCTGACTTCGTAGTAGCCTCTGGTGTCACTAGAATTGCTGTTGATCTTGGTCTTCCACATTATGTTGTGGCCACATTTTCTGCTAAATTTCTTTCTCTCATGGCATATCTCCCGATCCTGACATCTGACCCCACCAAACTCAGTAGCCTTTCTACTGAAATTGATATCCCAGGCCTAAAGCCACTCCCTGTAGAAAGCATCCCTCCTCCATTCTTCAACTCAGATCATCTCTTCACAGCAAACCTTGTATCAAATGCAAGAGCCCTCCCAGAAGTCAAAGGAATTCTGATGAATACCTTCAATTGGTTTGAACCAGAAACGCTTTCTGCACTCAACAGCGGCAGAGTTTTGAGCAATCTTCCACCAATCCTTCCTATAGGACCATTAGTACCTTATGAGCTTAAGAGGGAAGAGCGTCAGTACCTACCGTGGTTAGACAACCAACCCACAGAATCTGTGGTTTATGTCAACTTTGGAAGCAGAACAGCCATGTCAAAAGATCAAATAAGAGAACTGCAAGACTGCTTGGAGAGTATTGAGTATCGTTTTCTTTGGGTACTCAAGAGCAGCAAAGTCGATAAGGATGACCAAGAAGACTTGGAAGCCTTATTAAGCCATTCATTTGTAGAAAGCACCAAGAACAGGGGAATTGTAGTGAAGGGATGGATAAACCAACAAGAGATTCTAGCACATCCTGCCATTGGAGGCTTTGTTAGTCATTGTGGGTGGAATTCAGTAGGGGAAGCAGCTCAGAGAGGGATTCCTGTCCTGGCATGGCCTCAACATGGGGACCAAAGGGTGAATGCAGAAGTTGTGGAGAAGGCAGGGCTTGGGATATGGGAGAGGAGTTGGGGTTGGGGTGTTGAGAGCCTAGTGAAGCAAGAAGAGATTCAGAGAAAGATTGGTGAGCTGATGGAGGATAAAAAGTTGAGGAGTACAGCAAAAAAGGTGGGGGAAGAGGCTAAGAAAGCTGGAGAAATTGGTGGGAGTTCCAACAAGGTCCTCATGCAAGTCCTTCAACTGTCAATACAAAGCTTGGAAAAGTAGTTCAACTTTCACAAAAATGTTGAAGATATCAGTTAACAGCAGTTATGCTTTTTTAATTTGTAACTGGTTTTTTGTTTTCTGCAGTTAGTTCTACAAGTTAGCTGCATTAGGAGTAGTTATTTTTATCCTTTATATAAAAACTGTAATGTATAAGTTGCAGATATTTTCAGCAACTCTTAATGTATGTCAGTTATCAATCTGAAATGAAATAGAGCTCCACATCCGAGAAGCTCATAAAATCCAGATTAGTGTGTTCTTTAGTTTACTGCAGAAATTAACAAAAAATCCTCTTTCTTGCATCATGGGGTTTCCTTTTGCATTCCACAGATGAATAAATTAGGTTAAGGACGAGTTTCATTCATTGGTGATGGCCAAGAGTTCAAAAAGTTGTAGAACTCATAAAATGTAATCAGGCTAAGGATGAGTTTCATTCACTTGAACACCTTTTGTAAATTTAAAGCACCCCAGTGCAATCCAATTCTTCAAACAAAAAGTAATAGCTGAACTATCTAAATCAATGATTTGTTGCTTTAAATGGGAATACCGCCTAAGAAACTTAGAAACTTTGAACGCCCCTGTGGTAACCAACAAGAACTGAATTCCAAATAGAGAGGTGGTTTATGATAATTTTATCACATACCCACCTGTATTCAGCTAAAAGTCCAAACCTGGCATAGCAATTTAGTACTTTAGAACCCAGAAAGAAGCTGTCACCTGTTGGAGAAATGGCATCAAAGCTGTAATGTTTGCTGCAACTAGACAGCAAAATGGTGCAGCAAGAAACTGCGTTTATGGCACAAAATGCCCGGTAACAAAGCTGCTTTATTGGAAGAAAGAAAAATGCAGCAAACTGCTGCATTATGGAAGAAAAGGAAATGAAATTGAGATGCAAATGAGATGAAATTGAAATGCAAATAGAGGCTGCAAATTAATCAACAAAAGTGCAATAATGTGATTGTGTTTCAATGTACTTTTAATGTTAGTTTATGTATTATAATCTTTGATTAAATGTTAGGATAGATTTTGTAGGAAACATGTATCCATAAATCATGGAAAGTCGG